GTGTACAAAACACGTTGACCCGAAGACTCGAGGAGGAATTGGGTGGAGTGGAGAGTTTGGAAACAGGATTGAATGAGGGATTTTATTATTAAGGACAGATGAGGGCATGCGATTTATGAGGTAACATGCTGTGAGTACCGCATCTCCCCAAAACCGGAGAGGAACATTACCATGGAGAAGTAGTGTCCGAGTGGTTTCTACGAGGTGCCGATTTTTGCGTTCGGCTACCCCGTTTTGTTGGGGTGTATGAGGGCAAGATGTTTGGTGCAAAATACCATTGGATGACATAAATGTTTGAAATTGTTGGGATAAATATTCACGTGCATTGTCACTTCTTAGGGTACGAATAGATAAACCAAATTGGGTTCTTATTTCTCGATAAAATTGTTCAAAAATAGAAAACAATTCAGACCTGTTCTTCATTAAAAATAACCACGTGCAACATGAAAAATCATCAATAAAGGTTACAAAATACCTAGACTCAAAAGTAGACACGGTACGTGAGGGACCCCAAACATCGGAGTGGACTAAAGCAAAAGGGGACGCAGCCCGTTTATTGACTCGATCGGAAAAGTGACTACGAGTATGTTTCCCTAACTGACAAGACTCACAATGTAAAGTGGATAATTTAGATAAACTGGGCACCAACTTTTGTAGCTTGGGAAGACCTGGATGACCTAACTGCGCATGTATAATGAGTGGAGAATCTGTGGTGGAGCATGTGGTAGATGACGTAGAGAAGTAGTAGAGGCCTTGAGACTCACATCCGACGCCAATCGTCTGTCCCGAACTTCGATCCTGCAGAGTAACATTACTATTAGTAAAGGTGATAGAACAATTAAGGGAACGAGTTAAACGACTGACTGACAGTAAATTAAATGGGCAATTAGGTACATAAAGGACAGAAGTAACAGAGAGAGACGGTAAAATTTGAACAGTACCAATCCCTTGGGATCGGGTTTGAGAACCATTTGCTGCAGTTATAATAGGCAAGAAACCAGAGGTAGAGAGGGAGGAAAAAAGACCTTTATTACCAGTAACATGATCAGACGCACCAGAGTCAAGGACCCAAGGACCAAGAGGAGATGATTGAGAGAAGCAAACAGATGAATTACCAGTGTGTGCAACCGAAGCAGTGGAACCAGAGATCTGATTAGTCTGACACCATCTGAGAAAATCTTCGTAGCTTGGCGTAGGGTTTCTGAATAGAAGGTGAAGTCTGCATAGTTTCTGAGTTATCACTTTGAGCTGCATTTACCTGGCGTGGGGGTTTGCCATGTAGCTTCCAACAACGGTCGATAGTATGTCCAAGCCGGTTACAATGGTTACACTTGGGACGAGGTTTGGATTTGGATTACCCTCCTCGAGGACGACTCTGATTGTTGCCCAGAGATGCGAGGGCAGCAGTGTCACCTGGTGTAGCAACAGTAGATGGAGGGGAAACCGGACCAAACGCATGAGGTGTAGCCAAGCGCAACAGTTGTTCACTAACTGCATCATAGTTAGGAACAGTAGTACCTGATAAAATCTGGTTACGAACGGAGTCGAGTTCGGATGGTAGTCCTTTAAGTGCCATCACCATGAAAAATTTACTCTGTTGTTCGGCATGAGCTGTTGCGTCTTTTGCGTACGGCATGAGGGTTGCGTAACTTGCTTTCAAAGCATCAAGGTTACTCAGATAGGTTTGCATATCCATATTTTCCATCTTTAGTGTGTCGAGTTTGAGGATGACACTGTATAGACAATGAACGTCGTTGGAGAAGACTTTCTTGGCCTTTTCCCAAACTTCATAGCAAGTGGAGAAGGCTTGATACTGTGCTTGGAGGTTAGGTGCTATGGAGAACCATAACACGGTAAGGAGAGAGGCATCTGTTTTCTTCCATTTAGCAAGTTTGTCGGAGGCAACATTAGTCAATTGTGTGGTTAGGTGATCTTCATATCCCTGACCACGAAACCACATATCGACAGCACGCGCCCATATGTTATAGTTTGCTGATCCGGTCAATTTTTCACATGGGATAAGAGGAACTTTAGTAAACGAGTCTCCCATAGCTTAATGACACAAACAATCGGGGTTGCTTGCACTGGAGCACCGTTTTCCGTGAGTCGGAAAGTAAAACAGAGGCCGGATCTGGAATGGGTGAGGAGAGGTGAGTAGATCAGCAGAAAAACGGTCGGAATCAGCCGCCAGTCGCGCTGGGGCAGCAGCGGGAAAAAGGGGCTCTGGGGCAGCAGCGGGAAACGGATCGGAAAATCAGTAATACGTGGCGGCAAGGCGGTTACGCGCTGGGGCAGCAGTGGGAAACGGATCGGAAAATCAGTAATCGGTGGCGGCAAGGCGGTTGCGGGCGAATTTTGAAAAGTGAGAGGAAAACCGGAGTGACAACACGGTTTGCCAAAAAAAATTTTTTCTCACCGGAAGACAGTAGGTCAACCGGGTAAAATACGGCGAAGAAAGAATTGTCTCTTGTTAATAGGCTCTAGATACCATGTTGAAATACAAGAGACTAAGAGACATGAATAAACCGTATGTCTTGAAAAGCACTACGGAGACATTATTATATATAAATAGATTACACCTAATTACATAATATAGTCGATGTGGGACTATTCTATATACAAATATTCTTAACACTTTATATATATATTTACAAATATCAACAGATTGAATTGGATTTTTATTAAGAGAGTTTAGTGGATTGTTAATGGATTAATGGATTGCTTTGATCCATCCATTAACAATCCAACCCATATCCATCCAATCCATCCATTTTGCCACCCCTAATCCTAACGCAATACGCGTCATTTTATAAGTGACAATAGGAGGGATCGATTAAGGATAAACTCGGTTCTGAATACGCAAAAGCGACAGTTCCCGTTAAATTAGTTTTTTTCATGAGTAGCCAACATTACCTCATAAGGCATTCTATTTATACACATTTGGAATACTACGTAGCTATGTGAATTGCATTTATGCCTGTTGTTTTATTATTGAATTTATTTCCGCACTTTACTTTTATTCCGCACAACTCAACCTTTTATTTGACTTGGCTTAGATAAACACCGTAACACTAGCGAACAATTGATTGACGTTTGGTCTCTGTGAGATCGATAATCTTTTATATTACTCTGACGCTATTCGTACACTTGCGAATCGAGCATTAGCTATCACTTCCTACACGACCTTGGAGCAGAATTTCATTGGTAGCCTGAGATTTTACATAGCACATATCAGCACGAAACTCAAAGAAAACTCTATTATCAAGACAGAATTTGCTGACACTTATCAAGTTCTTTGTAATAGAAGGAACAAGCAGTAAATTATGAAGAGCTAATGGAGTGTTGGGTTTAGAATGAGAGGGAAAATAAGAAGAGCCTGAAGAGTGAATGTGCAAACCTTGACCTTTACCAATGAAGATCTGATCAGGACCTTCAAAAGGTGTGGTCTGCTGTATGTTTTGAGAGGCATTGGTAACATGATAAGAAGCTCCTGAGTCTGGGAACCAGGCACTACTTGGAACTGAAGTTGTGTTGGCAATCATAGCATTGGGAGTGATCTGTGACTGAGGAACAGGAAGAGGAGCAAGTCTTGGTTGATAGTTTGGGCGTGACCACGTGTTAACCATGGGCTGAGCAAACTGAGGTCCACCAATTGGTTGATACGGATTGTAGAAATTTTGTAGGTTCATTGTTTGAAAATCAGCAGGTATGTTAGGTTGAAATTGTTGATTGAACCTGTGATAGCAGTTAGCAGCAAGGTGGTTGGTTATATTTGAAGCAAACTTGACATTGAATGTTGTTGAACCTACCTTTCCCACGGCCGCACCCACCACCACGGCCAGATGCACGACCTCCTCTTGAATAGGTTGGATTAAAGATTGAATTCACAGCTTGTTCAGTGTTCTTGTTATTGGAGTTATCAGTTTCAGATTGAGAATTGGCTTGAGTGAGATTCAATGAGGCAGCCACCTCCATTTGAGAGTGTTTCTTATACTTGTTGAATCTCATGAGCAAGAAGAAGAGCTTCAACTTCTTCAAGTTCTACTGAATCAAACTTGCTTTCAATGACTGAAATAACAGAGGCAAAGTCTTGAGGAAGACCTTCAAGAATCACATCAATGTGTTGCTGATCTGGAACTGGATCTCCTACTGAAGCAAGCGCGTCCACAAGAACTTTGATGCACATCCAAGAACGCGTGAAAGAACCGAAGGTGAAAGCATGGATTGAAGTCACGTCATAAGCCACTGATCTTGTGTAATCCAGGTGCGATACGCAGGGTTCTCACGAGCAGTTGTACGATCTTCATCAGTTAGGTATTGATTCGGTATGTCACGAAGGTAAAGGTAGTTTTGAAGATTATTCGCGTAAACGAAAGGATCTACTTGTTGGCGCCAAAGTAGGAAATTCTTCTCATCAAGTTTTTCTGTGATTTTGAGTTGGAACGACATAGATGCTGCGGTGGCCGGACTGCCATGGATAGAACCGAAGCTCTATGATACCATATTAAAATGAGATATGAGAGAGAAGAGAGAGAAACTGATTCTATTGTTATATTGAATTGGAATGGAGCATGATCCTCTATTTATACAAGAGGAGTTGAACATTCAAGAGTTGAATCATTCAAGCTCTACATTTAAGGATGACTTTTCTTATTCTATTAAATTAAGGCTGGCCTTAATTATTCTATAATGCTAACTTTTCATATCCTAAGATATAACTCTAATACAGAGCAGCCGAACCCAAAAATGGGATAGCGGGATATCCGCTATTTGACTATTTTTTGGACTAATTATATGAAATAATAACTATAAAACATAAAACTAAATAATATTACATGCCTTGTAGCAAAGGATAATGTTACCCATCATTTAAACCAGGCAATACAGTTTTTTCTCTGTTTTAAAAAATAGCACTGAAATAAGAAAACTTAAATGTTTGCCAAAAATTATTTTCTCATGAGATTACTTCACCGATTAGCAAAAGTAATACAAATTAGTACCTCAATAACAGTTCTACTTGTTTCTGCTGCAGTAAGTCTATCATCTCCACTATTCTCCAATGTTGAGGCAGCTATTTCCTCAAATGGGTGATAGGATGACTTCTCATTTTGCTTTACCGGCTCCTGATCTGAGCCAGGATGTTCTGATGACACTCGAATTCTATTCTTCACAAGTTTGTTTCTTCTTGTAAAAGGAGTGCCTGAATACTTTTTACTTCGTATCCTGCATAATTATATTATTTATTATTTATTTCCTCTCATAACACTTAGTATCTCTAGACATGAAGGTAGACAATTTTCACTATACATTACATGTAAAACAAGAAATCACAAAACATGGTATTTCACATAACATTTAGAAAGAAATACAAGAGAAGATAATTTTTTAATCCTCATAAAACTTGAAGAACAAGAGCAACTAACTTGAAGAACAAGAACAACTCTTAGGTAGTCATAGTTCACAACCCATTACGCTTAACACATGTAAAAGCATTCACACAGAATGACAAAAGTCGTGTGAACTGTTGATTTGTGTGTGTATGGTAAATGGTAGGTAACCAAGAATTTTTCACAAATCCAAAGGGAAGCACTATGCTTTTGTATAAACTATATAGTATAAACTCATAGACACATGTAAAGGTTTCTCCAACTGCAATTGAGGTTGCATCAATGGAATCCTTTTAATAATCACATTGCAACTAACTAACTTCCACAATCTCTCCCTTAAATCATCAAAAGATACAAAGAATCACGGGAAGACAGAAAGAAACTTTACTAGTGTATCAAGACAAACCATAACTTAACTATCTTCTGCAATTTCACTAGTAAATCATCAAAAGATACAAAGAATCATTAGAAGACAGTTAAACTCTCTCAAACTGCACTTACAGAGGACACCAACAAAAATGTTTCCACAAATCTCAAGATGTCATAATCAAATCACAACTGAAACCTAACTAACTTCCACAACTCCACCCCTAAGTCATCAAAAGATTCAAAGAATCACCAGAAGATGGTTAAGCTTTCTCTAACCGCAATAGCAGACACATCAAAAGAATTTTTACTCAAACCTCAACTTAACTAACTTTCACAATTTCAGAGAATCACTAAAAGACACTTAAACTAATTTCCACTATTTCACCCTTAAATCATCATCAAAAAAAAAACAGAATCACAAGAAGAGTTAAAGAAACATACCAAGGAGCCTCGAAACCACAGCTGCAATTAAGGCAACACGACGCTGCATAACCTAATCGGACATTGGCATCCTCCGCATTCCACATTGAACGGTTATTATCTACAAGAAAAAAACGTGTGAAATGTGAATGAGCAAATATACAACTAACCAGCAAGTGGTAACAGCTACAAACTATTAGTCCTTTGGAACTCAAATTAGATCAAAACGATGCCGTTAAAGTTTCTTCGCAATCGACTAAAATTGAAATAAGTAGTTAACATAGTACGAAGTGTGACGGAGGAAAAGCGAGTGGCGGTGGCGGCTAGGTGGAAGCGCGCGACGATAGGAGGATCGATTATCATCATAGTTGGTTTTTGGACTATTGTGTTGAGAGAGAGAGAGATTGATAGTGGTGGAGGTAGAAGAAGAAAGAAAGAAGAAGATGAGGTGCTCTTTGCTTTTGGATTTGTCTTCCTCGTGATTCGATACAGCCGCAAACATTCTAAACTTTCTTTTAGTTAATATTTCTAAGTTTTGTCTTTCTTTTTCTTCTTTTTTTAAATGTTATTTATAGGATAATATAATTTTGTAAAAAAGAAATTTACAAAAAAATATTTTCATAAAAATTTTGAATAAAAATTTAATTTAAATAATTATTCTTAAAATATGATTTTAAAAATATTAACATTTTACCAGAAAAAATTTAGATATTAAAATTTTAAAAAATAACTTAATTTTAAAATTATTTCAAATAGATTTTAATAGAAATCATTTTTAAAATACGGCTTTTTTTTAAATTATAATTTTGATTATGTTTTTATCTTCAATAATATGTTTATGTTGTATGATGTCAAAATTAATTTTTTAATTTAGTAAAAACTTATAATATTTTAAAAAATGAAAATTCATTTTTTTTAACCTAAAGCAAGCCCTTAATATCAACTTTTTTTCTTTATTTTGATATATAATATATTTATTTTATTGATAAACAAAAAAGCTTGTATTTATTTTATATTTTTTAATTTATTAATAAAAATATTTTTTTAAAAAAATATATAAATAAATTATCAATATTTATAAGGGATTAAATGTTATGCATCATCAATGTAAAAAAATTTTAAAAAATGTTATGCATCATCAATGTTATGCAATAAGGGTATTAATAATTTATTAAAAATATAATTAATAGTTGAATATTAAAATAAGTAAAATAAGATAATTAAACTAAAATGTATTAATCGGGGGCGGGTGTTGGCGGGTCTTAGTGTCTCTCCGCACCCGCACCCGTAGTTAAAAATCGGGTTTCCCTGTAACGCCATTTTCTACCCCACAAAATAAAAGGCAAAATATTCACATTTATCATAGTAAAATGTTAGATTCAATAAAAATCACCTCAAAGGGCGTACATTTTCCAATAAATCAAATGTAAGTCAAAGCTCCGTAAACAAACGGGTTTTCCCAAAGGTTATCAGCAATTTCATCAAAAGGAAGCGGAACTCAAAAAGGCATAATCCAAAGTTTTCCTTACGCCGCAAGGAAATTAACATAACAAAAACATCAATAAAATAAGGTTTGACTCAAAGACCCCAACCCGATGTTACACTATCAGAGCAAGACCCTCTAAGTCAACCACAATGGCCAACGACCTAAAACTTCAAAAGTCTTCGACGGCATCCACGGCTAAACCTGGTCATCTGCACGTTACCCACGTGGAGGCAACATTCAAACAGGTAGGGTGAGTAAAACGATTCATAATAACGAATGTAGGAAATCAATATATAAAATGGCGTCATTTTCATATTCAACCTTATCATATTCATCAATAGACATCAAAGGCCACAACATCATAAATTATTCAACATCATCTCATAAATGCAAATGCAAACAAGACTCATGCATGTGGTACCAATCATCACAGCTCGATGGACACTGGGCCATCAACCCTGCACAGATACCCATCAATAGGATCCATTCTACTCGAGAACCGGAGCACATCAAAATACCTCACACCCGCACAATGGGACTGGAGCCAAAGAAATCTAGGTCCTGAACCGAAGTCCAGATGCACATGAATGCATGATGCACACGTCAATAATCATCCTCATAATAACATCATAGGTGCATCATCATTCATCATAATCATCATCATCAAAAATCATGTCATCATATAATCATTCAAAACTCATGGAAATGTCATCATAGTTCATCAATCATTACATCATAGGAATCCTCATATAATCATGTACAAATCACATAGAATTCACAGTCATACTCATATTAATTCATCAAAGAAATCACAGCATCAAAACATCAAGGCATCACTGTACAAAATCAGAATTCATGAAACTCTGCTACATTCGCTAGCAGGTTCGTTGTGCGAGTCTGAGGCGAGTTTCTTTGTTATGCGAAGGATTATTCGCAGTGCGAGTCTGGGACGAGTTCGTTCGTTGTGCGAACACGTGATTACAGCAAAACGTTGTTACACACCAGAACCTAAAACCAAACCAAAAGTCCCACGATTTCCTTCCCCAGTGCCCCCAAAACATCCCTAAATCATCCCTAAGGTCTTACGAAGATAAAGGCACAAAATCTACGACTTATTAGGCCAATGCCGACTCTAAGCCTTCTCTTTGACTTTTAGAAAACCTTTCGAAGCTTTTGCCTCAAACCACTTCCTCAGAGCTCTAGCCTCAATTTCTTATCACGGTCTAACAAGAACGAATCATAATCCCATCAAAATTCTTTTTTGTTAAACCTAACCTTGGGCCTTAAAATTGGGCTTTCCAATATTACCCTCACTAACTCCTCCTCAATTGTCCAATTTATCCTTAGTTAACTTATATTTATTTAAATTAATAATAATACCAATATATTCATATTATATACTATTATTTAAATAAATAAATAACCCAAAATCCATAATTCTCAATATTTTACAACAACCACCGAAAATTACCAAAATGCGAATATTATTATTTAAATTAAATAAATAAATATTCCAATAAATTTGGGGTGTTACAGTTGCACCCCAAAATTTGCTCAACATCTTTTACCTGGTTTATGTTTCATTGCATTATCATCTGCATAGTTCTATCATTTGCATATCATGGCATATCATTAATCCAACAGGGGATCAAGTGTGATTATTATCAAGAGAAACCTAGCAAGAAATCTTATCCAAGCTTGAGAAGTCATCCAAGTCATCAGGAGGTGGTGGGAGGTCTTGATCAATGGAGGACCATCAATGGGATGTGAAGTATGAGGTGTGAATATGAGATGTGTATAGAGCTCATGGAGTGCCTAGAGAGCCATGTTGGAGCTAAATCAAGTCATTGTGTCAAATGCAAGAGCCACAGTTGAAGTGCAAGCAATTAGGGTTTCATCTGGATCAACCCTAGGTCAATTATGCAATTGAAGAGCATTCAAGCCTACTTTGAGGTCATGGAGTTCATGGGATCATGTGATAAGATATTTGTGGTGTTGTGCCAAGATCAAATCAAGAAGAATCAAGAATGTGGGAAGTTGCTAAATTAGGGTTTCAGTGTAAATTACCCTGTTTAATGCCTAACTTCAAGGCCACATAAGTCAAGATACAAGTTTCAAATGGATCTTTGGCCAACATGAAACTTGTAGGGCAATCTCAATACCTTTAATTTGAGTACTATAAGTCCTCCATTGGATTTATAGAACTCAAGTTATGGCCCAGACAAGTTACAGGTCCTCAAATGCTTCTGAATTTTGTCTGTGGAAATCATCTGACTTCAAGGCTATTTTTGACCTAGAAGGAGGTTTTACCTGAACTTTTGGTCAACATGAAAGTTGTTCCTCATGATCTTAGCTTTCTAAATTGTACTAGAAGTCCTCCATATGATTTGTATAACTCAAGTTATGAGGTTTACAAGTCAGGGGTATTTTGGGAAAGTGAGATTATAGGTCATTTTCAATCATAGGTCCATATCTCTAACTTGCAAGCTTCAAATGGAAATTTGTTCAACATGGAACTTGCTTAAAATAATGTTTTGAGTGCAACCAAGTGATCATGAGAGTTTGGTTTGGCTCATATCAAAAAGTCACTTGAAATGGCTTGAAAATGAAGAAAATTCAAATGTGGAAAGGAGGGAAAAATGAAATTTTGTGTTATAAGACCAAAACATGTCAAATGAGTACATTTTCTGATTGGAAATTTCACTTTGAACACTTTGTCACTTTTACATTTTTGAGTTGAGGCATAATTCCATGACTTTCAATGTTGTTACTTCATGAACAAGTCACATATCAAAATCAATTACCAAGGCAATTCAATACTCCTTGTTGGTCCAGAAACATTCACAAGGGATTTTGCAACTGGTTGGAAGCTTCTAGAGCAAGCTATGGCAAGGGATACACGACTGTTACATTTCAATTTTGAAGAAAAATCATAAAACTGGATTTGCTGTTTTGGGCTTCAATTTGGATCCAAAAGCCCATGAAACTCTTATATATATTCATTAGAGGAAGTTCAGATCAAGGTTGAGCTTCATTTCGCGCCAGAACCATAGAAAGTATTTGAAATTTCCCAGCTGCAAATTGAAATCGTGTTTTGAGATTCAGACCAATTCAAGCCAAATTGAAGGTTGAAACATCATCCTCTTGCATCCTTGAAAGATTCTGGAAGGTTTTGGAGGTTGAATCAAGCTCTAAGCATCTCTGTTGTTGGATCTATATCAGGTTAGTGAATTTCAAATTTCCATATGATTTAGCATGATATGATTAGAATTGAACTTGTGGTTAGGATTTAGACAAGATGTAGATCGTTTTAGGCTTGATTTGGAATCAATTGGTGATGTTTGATCATGAGGTATCATTTCTGTTTGGGCACGAGTTGGTCTGATCTTAAGGATATAACATGAATTGGATAGATCATGATGACCTAGGAAGTATGAGGAACTTTTCTGTGCAATTAGTTTAGGATTTGATGATGATCAGAATTGAGGTGTACTTTGAACTTTGGATCGGATTTTGAAACCTAGCCTGGTTTAGAGGAAATGAAGGTTACATTTGGAATCCTTGTGGAATTCTGGAAAGAATGATGTTAAGTTTGAGTGTTTTCCTTAACCTGCAATTGGAGGTTCACCGGAGAAGACGGTGGTTTCCACCGTGGGAGTCACCGGAAGTTGCTTGACCTTGCCTGAGTTGAAGGAAGAAGACAATGTTCTGACCGTTAGATCTGTTTAAAGTTGGACTTGTTATGCTCATCGTATGGCCACGATTAAAACTCAGACTTGTCTCCATTAGCTCAATACGCTGCGTTTCATTTAAGCCCAGTCAGCTGGTGACTGGGACGCTCACGTGGATGCGCTGATGGCCTCAGGATCTGATTACATAG